GATGGATGGATGGATGGATGGATGGATGGATGGATGGATGGATTGATGGATGGGTCAATGGATGGGTCGATGGATCAATGGATTGATGGATGGATAGGCGTGAAGCCAACAAAGGCATCACTTAGCTGTTACTGTTCAGAGACTTCAGTATCAGCAGAGAAGAAGAATGAACACATGAAAGTCAGTCTTTTTTTCTGAAAGACTGGAAAACACTAAAGTAAAGAACATGTTTTAAAATGAAGCTAAAATAATAAGAACAAACCTTTGGAAATATAGCACTTCAGCAAGTCCCATCAAGGATGTTATCTGTCTTTTCATTTCTAATGAATTCTAACCAGCTACAGCCTCACATTGATAAATGCCTTTAGATATAAAAGTTTTAGACAAAAATGTCAGTTTGCTCTAATTTATATGAAAACCTTGAGAAGCCTGATGAAAATAGATGTTTTATCCATTGACTCAAAACAGAAAACTAAATATATCTTTGAGAGGCGCGCAAATCCCTGTGTTTGGTATAATGTGGATATCCAGGAGGAATCTATCAAATGGAAATGTATCATTTCTTTCATTTTCTACTTTCAGATTTAGAAAGGAAAATCCAAGATTTGAATCTAAGTAGACAAGCAAAAGCTGATCAACTGAGAATATTGGAAGATCAAGTTGTTGCCATTAAAAATGAAATCGTTGAACAAGAAAAAAAATATGCTACGTGCTATAGCTAGGCAGAGTTAAAGTGCAAAAGCTTGTGCCTTTGTTTCTGGTTTCTGATGTACAAGCCCATGGGGCTCTGTTGAACCTGTGAAATACTGAGAATGTCTTCTACCTTCCTTCCCCACAGCCTGTCCTTATTACACACCTGCTCAGTGTGGTTGGAGGTTGAAATGCCACCAGGAAAATGCCACTTCATAACTGAAAGGGGAAAGTAATGAGATTGTCTCTGGTTTCAGAAACCTTTCCTCTTGCCTTCCTTTCTCTTTCCTAACTTAAAAATAACAGGTTCCATATAACAAGTAGAAATTTAAGTAAGTACTCTACTTACTAATAATCATTTCAGTCAAATAAACCTAAACATTAAATAAATATCTCCAATACTAGGATGGAATACATATGGATGGCATGTACTAGATTGCCCTAGATTTTATGTTTATTTGGATTTACTTTTATTTGCAAAACTATTCTTTTGTGAATAAACTGCATAGAATTCAAAATGTAACTTGCTTTTATACCTACTTTCCTACACACTCATTCTCAACCAGGGGATTCTATTTTCCCCAAATGGCACTGGAACAATATTCAAAAAGATAAATATTGAACTACTTCTCCTCATTTATCAGTGGACATTTTTTCTGTAAAATGTGTTGCTTATTTTTAAAAGACTAGCAATCATGTTCTTATTGTTTAGTATAAAAATCATATTGTCTCATTTCAAAATGAGTCTGATTTCACACTAACTTTTTTTGCATGTGTGATTTATAATAGAACAAATTGCTTCTGTTTGTGAAAGCTATCCTTCAGAAAGATTATTTTAAGGGAGTTTGGTTTCACATTTTTGAATAAGAAATAATAAACATCAACACTGACATATGAAAAAGGAAGATCTGCTGGAGCATTTCCATTAAGGACTGACTCATAAAAAATGGATTTAAAGCCAGGCGTGGTGGCTCATGCCTATAATCTCAGCACTTTGGGATACGGAGGAAGGCAGGTCATCTGAGGTCAGGAGTTCAAGACCAGCCTGGCCAATGTGGCGAAACCTTGTCTCTACTAAAAATACAAAAATTAGCTGGGCATGGTGGTGCACACCTGTAATCCCAGCTACTCGGAGGCTGAGGCAGGAAAATAGCTTAAATCCAGGAGGAAGAGGTCGCAGTGAGCCGAGATCAGGCCACTGCACTCCAGCCTGGGTGGCAGAGCAAGATTCTGTCTCAAAAAAAAAAAAAAAAAAAAAA